TTCTGATTTTATTAATCTGAGCCACACCTGATTCCTCGATAGTGTTTGAGTCACACTTTACAGATATTATTCTTTGACAGTCCTCTGCCAGTTTTTGGAGAGTCAATCCTTGTTCGTTCTCAAGCTTGGTCAGTACTCGTCGTCTGACTTCGGTGTCTTCTGCTGATACTAGACCTTGTGCGAAAATCAAGCACTTGAAATCATCGGCAGTCAGTTCGGCTAGTTTAAAATCGTTACAGAGCTTGTTTATCGATGCTGCAAACATTAAAAATCTTGCTGGTAGTCTTTGACTGTGTTCAGGCATTTCCAACGTTTGTGGAACAAGGTTGTGTTAGGCCCGAATAGTTCTGATAGGAGCTTAATAGCCTTTGAAAAATCCAAGTCAGTGGTTTTCTTGGGTAATATGAAGTCTACGAACCTACTATGTTCTGTAGTTCCCAGTTTTCTCAATAGTAGACGTACCTTCGTTTTACTGGACCATTGTTCACAGTCTACGCTTAAAATATCCTCGTAGCGCCTGTAAAAAGCGTCGAACGTTTTGTCGTTCTCTGGTACGTATTCAAATGTTTCCATTGAATTGTAGATTGTACTCTGGGAGAATATTGTATCTTTTTCAGAGTTTGAGCCTTTTAATGAATTTACGAGTAATTCTTTAAGTTGTTTCTGTTGTAGTTCAGCATTCGGAAGCGTAATTTGTTGGAGTTCCATTTGTTGTTTATGTAATTCCAAAAATAGTTGTTGTTGTCTTTCTTCTGATTTTTGTTGCTGATCCAAATTTAGTTTTAACATTTGGGCAATTACTTTTTGAAAATCTTCCATATTTAGACAAACAAAAATGACAGCGATTTTTTGTTGCTTTCTTGATAGATTTTTGTTCTTTTTTTTTTCTTTTACAGAAAAAAATATGGACAGACAATTAGTTAAACTAAACTTATTATGTGTTTAGCTTCTTTTTTTTGAGATTCCGTGGTTCAATTTTAACCTAATTGTATAAATTTTCAGCACACTTATTATGTTTTTTAATAGAGGTACAAAAAGAGAAAACTCACCTCAGTGAATTTGAGGGGAGAATAATTTTATGCACGAGTTCAACTCAGTTATATATAAAAAAAAAAATTAGAATAGTAGTACTTCCGCTCTTGTATTGTCAGTTTGTTTTATGAACAACTGTTTTTTTTTTATTTCTGTGTGTGGGTGTGTAAGAATTCGTTCTTGTTATTTGGACAGACATTAATATTCCGTAGATGTCGAAACACTGCTCGTCACTGATGTTTGGTATTGGAATATATATTATTTTTTTTTACATGTAGACGCTGGGTGTTGCGTTTAAATCGCTAATGTAGTAATACTAGCTTAATTTCTCGTTCAACAATGCTGTGGGAACGCGTGGATTTTCTGTGTATTTTTCGAGTACTCTGTCGCTATTGATATGGTGAGAACGAAATTCTCGAATCTTTCTGTCGCCACTGATGTGGAACTGGCAAGGTATTGCGGTTTTCGACGTGAATGCGTTTCTCGAATTCTTCGTCGACACTGATGTGGGACTGGTAAGGTATTGAGGTTTCGGCGTGAGTGAGTTTCTCGAATCCTCGTCGCCACTGATGTGGGGCCAAAGTCGGAACCACAGAAGGAAAACACGGAACACGGATTAGATGTAAGAAAGCTATATTAACAACAGGTTAGAGAGATAGTGTAAGCAACACTGGTAGTCGTACGCGGCTCTCAGTGTCTCTGTATCTCTCAGTCTGGAGTGTTGTGTCGCATACTTAATAAAGACATGGAAGAGTCCATTGTGTAGGTAGTTCCGGTCTCACAATATTAACCCAATCCTGGGGTGGGGTAAGAAGAGACAAATTCGTCAAGGACATTTGTATAAAAGTGAATACAGCAGACTAGCACAAGATTTGTACACGGTTGTCTATATCTTAAATATGTGGGCTGTTATATTCCGTGCTAAGAAAACTCATCACTAGGTGGATAATAGAAGAAAGGTTTATTGTACAGAACCAGTACAATATGAAATACGGTACAGTTATAAACACAGGTCAATCTAGTAGTGAGTACCACTAATTGGAAGGTCGGACGTGCTTGCGTCTTCCCATTCTGTCTTCCTCGAGTCTCACGTAGACAGTTGACTTTATAGGTACTTACTACCTATAGTGTAATCATTCATGGGGGTTTATTTCATTACATCATGGGCCTAACAGGGGAATATTTTATGTTTTATTTAGCATAAATTCCCACGCTAAGGAGAACTATGCTTTTGTGGTGAGTAAAAACATCTGGAAACTGTATGGCGTATTCAAAATTGGAGAGCAAGGCCGTAATCATTTTATACATTAATAAATCTGGAACATAAAGATAAGGTTATAAAAGAGCAACGGATCTGGAGAAGAGGTTGCAATGATTTTGTTTTTCCAAAACCTAAGCAAACTGCTGAAAAACGAAAAGTATTTTTTAGAAACAAAATAAAAAGTGTTGGATATTATGTGATATCAAC